GGAAAGGTGTGTCAATTTTGAGGTGTCGACCAATGAGATTGCAAAGAGGTTGAATGTTATGCCAACCACAAATTTCACTAACCAATCAAAAACGCCAAACATTTCCAGTGTTTGGAACATACTCAATTAGCCTATAATAAGCGATCAATCTTTTGGATTCGACTCCAGTATAAATGTGTTTGAGGGTGTTTTTGAAAATGCCATCATGATGCATATGAGGTGTCAACAACCATTGAAAGTTCAAGTGGGTTGGGATGAACCGTGAATAAACCATTGTTTCAAACCACACCACAAGGTGGAAATTAAATGTGATTTCGGTGAGTTTTTTGCCACATTTGACCCCGATCTTTGCAAATTCAATATGGCTCCGCGCTTTGCGGACAAGGTCATAAGTGTGCACTGCTGGATTGGCTCACGCGTGGTCACATTGTGTCCGCTTAGCCAATGGGAAGGCTCAACGATCAGTCAGATCGATAGAGACGTCTATCTGCTTCCGATTATTTGAAATTACTAATCCGTGAGTTGCTTGAAGCAGCATTTTTGTGTGCCTGGGGTAACCTTTACCTGACCCCGAATTTGACCAATCCCATCCGTTTTGGCAAAACGTCCGAACCAATAGAAATTATGGCAATTCATAATTGAGACAACTGGTGATCAGATCATTGTGGTATGATTGGCAGCGCTTCACTTAATCACGCCAAGTTTGACCAATTAATTCATCTCAAAATCATTTTTATCCCATTTTCGAAAATGTGTGCTGGCTAGCAATTCGCTTTGCTTTGCCAAAATTATAAGGCTAAATATATATCAAAAATGCATTCGATGTTTTTAGTCTATGTTAACATTTACCGCAAATGCAACATTTTATGCTAAACATCAACCAAATGCCGGTGGAAAAACTCCAGCCGTTTCCTCACTACGCTGGCCGAATTTCTTCAAAACACGTAGAATGCCATCACAATGCTAACACCAACACCAGCGCAGTGAAACAACACTAGCAACGTCAGCAAGACCAATCTTCATGCAATACCAAGGTTGCAATTCACGTTTTTGATGACGACGTAGACATGGCAACCTTCGATTTCCTGTTCATTCATTCCATCGTCATTTCAAAATTGTTTTTTTTGTATTTTTAGTCGATTATTTCACTCTGCGATGCTGAAACCAAATCTAACCAAGAATTCAGCACAAGAGTCGTTTTTTAACAGATTCGCAGGATTGTGTAGTCAAAACCCACTGTACATTCGAATGTCTTGACAAGAAGCCCAAACCATTCTCAGCAGTCCGCCACTTCCACAACATCTGTCATCACGTCTATTCACGCCTTGCTTATAGATTTCTACGCCAGAATGTTTTTTTAGACTTAATTTTGTAACGCAACCCACAGCCAACCCCTAGTATCGATTTTTCGTGAGTAAACAGCCCGAAGCGGCGTCGTCTCTAATTGAGCCCATTTTCACCAAATGACCAATCACTCACCTTGGCGGTTGCAGGACGCGCAGGCAGATTTTTCGGCACAATGTCAGATTTCACGTGATCACTTGGAAGAGCAACACACACACACTCACCCCCGTTTTCCGATGCATCAGGTCAATTAAAATATTGATTTTTGGAATATTTGTGTGTGTATTGTCAGACACCGAACAGACAAAGTTTCTGTCCCACCACGTCGTCTCTGTTCAGGTTAAATCACAAAACGCGTGATAGTTTTAACTGGATTCCCGACCTGGTCCATAGTGCGCAGCAGACAAAACGAAACTTGTCGAGTCATTTTGAATTGACAAGCCAAAGACCTTCATGATTTTCAGCATTATTCATACTCTAGACGGCCTGGGGTGCAATGCCACTACGTGCTTGCGGTCAGTCACTACTGGCTGCAAACTGGCCCCTATTCTGTGAGGTTCACGAAGACATGGAATCAAATGCACCAACCTAAGTACCAAACAGGTCTACAGGTTAGTGATTACCATGTACGAGATCCGCAAATCGACAACCCTTCAACTACCACTATACCTTTCCACCTTCATTCCCTCTTAAGAGTACCACGCCACAATTCTGTCTGACGAAATCGATCGCCACCGCCCATGGCTTGTGCTTGACATCGAACCCCACAGATGCACAAGACCACGCTGGAACAGTCAGCAAGCATTTGCCACGAGTAATTACTGTGACGTGCATTGATTATCTGCAGTTGACACGCATTCTCAGTTGCTATCTCATTACAAAAAGCGCAACTTACTCGTTAAAGTGAAACACCAGATAAAACCAAGCTACTTCTCTATCTACAGATACGATCAGTGGAGCGTATTGTCCAACCCTCGTGGTAATTGCGCGCCATCTTGGCGTGTCTTAACTACGCAAAATGTCGCCGGTGTGGTAGAATGGACACGTTTGTGTCCGTGCACCTTCCAGACTTATCTGTGAGTCCGTCCTGTTACCTTACTGGAATCCCAGAACATGGATTTCAAAAGATCACACGTGAGACTGCTGGTTCGCAACACCACGAATTATCTGCCATGCGTTACGCCATTTTGGTAAATTTTGCAACCCAAACACAATGCGAGGGCTCCTTTACCATCGATGGTGCGTAATTACACCTCTTCTTACTGATGCTGCACATTCTTGACTTTAAATTGGCGCCGCAGATCATGCGATCGATTCCCTGACTATTGCTAATCGATTAGCTTGTTATATTTAATCCGAATACAGACGAGCAGCCAATCACAGTCGTTTACCTTTCTATCCAATTTATCGATCAGCAAACTTTCTTGAAGCATCAGTTCACATCAATGACACGAAAATTTACTCACCGTTTGGAAAAATAATGATTTTGTAATGACGGAATATCATTTAGTGCTCAAAGATACATTCCAGCCATTTTAAATTCTAAAATATTTTGAAATGCCACTTATTTCAAGTAATAAGTAGTGACGAATATGCAACACTGGGGTTAACTGCAGTTATTGGCAATCTCACAATTCCTCACTATATCCAATTAAACAAAAATAACTAAGTCAGTCTGTCATACGAGCTGCATAAAATGAAATCCTGATTGTATCAATAAGTCGGTTTGGTATCAAGTTGTTTCAAGGTCAGAGGTGACGCGTTGTCATGGTGAAGGTAAATGCATATGTGGTTTCCCAACTTTGCATGCTGTGCTTGGATTCCAGGATTAAATTGGAGGTGTTAAACACACTATACCTCCACAACCAGTGTCTGACCACGCGTAAAGACGAGCATTTAACACTATTCCGCTGCGATCACTCCGCAACAAGACGCCTACCAGCACTCTCATTGGATGCGACAATTCAGGCTGCAGCATCAAATCGGCTTGGTGAATAAAAGGCTCGTTTTATTGCCAAGCGATAAGAGAATTGGTGGTGGAAGCGCGATTCACTTTCTTAATTGTCTAAGCAGAAGTCACCGAGTGGCATTACACCAAACCAGATGCAGATACGCCATTCCAACTCACATCGTGAATGTCGTTGTTGCAGTTTCTACATACAGCCCTTCTGCAACTCACTTCACACAACTCAACGGAAACGTAACCTATCATTTTTGCTTGAACCTTGCGCCTTTACGCACGTCAATTTAAACAAAGTGCTGATTTTGAGTCAGGGCACATTCGGACAGCTGGTAATTAAAAGGACTAATCGAGAATTAACATCAGCACAGTCAAAGATGCATGTTGCTTGCATCTATGGAAATCGCGCGTGAACTTCAAGTCCCTTTTATGCGTGATAAGTCCATCCTAAATTGTTGCGCTCACTTCACTTGCACATATCTCGGCTATTTTAGGCAACATTGTTCGCTTCAACTTCTCACAGCACCCCAGACACAACACTTGAGGTGGTTTTGACAGAAATTGAATTACCGCGGTCTGGGGACGCGAATTGAGGTGATGGTGGGGTGCGGAGGAGTGTGCACGACGCGTTTCCGCTCAACTGCGTCCAATTTCACTGCAGGAAAAGGGCTCTTTTTTCATGATTTTTTATCATACATACATACATACACGCATACATACATAAATGCGTATTAAGAAGTGACCGTATGTGTATCTGGGTAGCGCGACTAACTAGTCGTCTCGTTTTGAGCAATCTGTCGTGTTGAGGTCTCGCGTCGATAGGGGTAAAAGAGGCGTCGGCGTCTGAAGAGACCCAGAGCCGATTTGCGGAAGGTTTTCCTCACTAGGCAGTAGACGAAGAAGTTGCTGCTCAAGTTGATCATGAATAGGAACCAGGCGATATAATAGGTGTCCGCCAGCACTCCGGACGAGTCCTTCCACGTGTCGAAGAAGTGGTTGAACGTTTGGATCACGTTGATGGCAGCGGAGGGCAGGGTTAGCGTGACAAAGCAGAAGGACACGGTGAGCAGTTGCATGGTTGTGGAAAAATGCGCAACGAAGAAACCGTGAACTGGGTGGCTCTCAGTGTCTGCTCCAGGCCGTCTGTGGTGACGAATTTTGTAGAGAATGACGGCGTTGCATGTGCAGATCACAGTAGCTGGCAGAACGGAGAGAAAGAGGACTTCAACGATGCGATTGATGTTGAGCACCTCGTTCGGTCGACAGACGAATTCTTCCGTACCACAGGGGTCAGGAACTGTTTCAAGAGCGAAGATCCACGGCGTGTTGACTAGAAGACTGAGGAAGATGGTGATGAGGATGTGGAGTTGGGAGCGCCGCAGGGTAAAACACTTGATCGCCTTCAGCGGCCACACCACGGCAACGAGGCGTTCCACCGTGAACACGACGACCGTCCACGTTGAAAGCGTGCGGGATGTGAAGGAGACGAATACAGTGACCTAGAAGGGAGGAAGATTTTGAGAGGGCTCGATGCTGGAATTGAGTCGAGGTAGGGGCCAGGTCGACAACCGAGAAAGCGTAAGAATCCAAACGATGATGTCATCGAATTTACATAGGTGGTTTCTTGGTCACAGATTTTAGCCTTTCGAGGTGAATGAAGAGGAATGCCACGATCCAGTTAGGTGACTTGTTCATCCCATTAGCGTCTCTGACTTGCTATTTGACTTAATTATTAGTCAGCTATAGAGACTAATTACGTCAGGTATCATGCTAAAGTATACTGTCTGGGTGGCGCCATTGATACACGCACTAATGCTTTTCAAGTAACTCCTCTGTGATGAGATCCTTTTAATGTGTCTGCACTTTCTGGAATCTTCAGCCCTTGTAATCATTTAGCTAAAGACACAAGAAAGTCCTTCTTTTTTTTTCAACACCGAAAGTAGTTTACGCTTACGGTCTTGCATCATTTATTCATGACGTTGAAGATGAATAGTATTCACCTGTTCGTGGCTGCAGATCGATAGCCAAAGTCACTGTTCTCATTGGCGGAGACAGATTAATCGATTTTTTGAGACGCACGCACGCACATAACCTGCTTACCTAACCCGGTTGGTTAAAGACACGAGAAATATTCAGGTACTCCAATATCTAATATTATTTGAATTTAAGTATTTCGGTGTGCCGAAAGAAATGCATTTTGCGAGAAAAAGGCAATTGCTCACCTGGCAGACACCGGGTTTTGCGAAGTACATGTCAATGGCCTTGAAAGTCGGTCCAAACCGTGACATGAGGAACACTTTCAGGACCATGAGGGGATAGAAGCTGCACTGGAAGGCTGTTACAGAAATGCAATCAAACACAGCCAAACAGCGGAGGTAGAAGATGCAGGCTGTCTCCTTTGACGTTGAATTCAGTAGTATGATCACAATTAAGTTGCCTTAAAACAGGGCACACACAATGGTTTTAATTATCCTAAATGTGATGGTATTTGTGATAAAACAGGCATTTTGTTTCTCTGCCTTTTTAATTCGTATAATAAATCAACGACAACAAAACACGTTTCAATGCTTATTTACGCTGATTTTCACAAACATGGCTGCCATATTAAACAAATAAGTGAAGCAGATGTGTTTGCGTGCTGAAAATTCAAATCAAATTTGTCTGATTTGTAGCATCCGACAGCTTGTGGAATCTCTGGTTTCCAAATTTTCACAGGACACGAATTCCTTTAATAATTGGTCGAGTATAAGAGATTCATGCCATTTCGAAAATGTTGCGTGACCTTCAACTGACCTTCACCCGGTCGTTTTAAAGAAGGTAGAAACGAATCAAATTGAGTCAAAACGTAACTCCAAAAGGCCCAATACAAGCATAAAATCTGTCCATTTTGTGTAATGAATTAACGATGGATTTGTTTTACTGGGCTAATTTACCAATAGTGATGACTCACCCAGAATTCCGACAACCGCAACGATTGGCTGAACGTACGTCAGAAAGAGGATGATACCCTCGGAGGGTTGAGCGTTCGAGTGATTTTCTGAAGCATTATTGTAGCACCTTTAGAGACAAGTGAGTGTTAGTGGTAAATGGCGACACAAACCCGGCAAATTGAGTTGCCAATTCAAACATTTCCCTTGTACGTTGGCGTCTGCATTCTAGAAGACAAAATGCGCATTGTCATGGTAACGTTGATCATCCTAACCGGTTATTTAAAACACCAAAATAACAACAAGTTTGACAGTAATTGGAGCCTTTTTAGACAGGCAGTCTAGAAAAATGCTTTATTTGCGGCAATTTGATGCAGTCTTATTGGTGGATTTTTAATACAAAACAGAGTCTGTTTTTAGCAATGTTTTTTGCCAAACAAACAGTGTCCATTTTGATATAAAAATAATCTAATTTTTTACTTGATTAGACTAAACAATCATCTTCATTTAAAATTTAAAAAAATGCTTTCAAAAACCGTACCCGTTTGATCGTCAGACTTGATTAAAACAAGCGCGGCTTTTAGTTTCAATTTGAAAAAGGTAGCTTTCTTAACTTTAAATATCGCTAGGGCAAATTAGTCTAGTTTTGACAGCATTTTCGTTTAACTTAACAATTGATGTCTCGTCAACCAAAAATAAACCAAACAGCAGGGAACGTGTGCGCAAAATTGGTAACTAAAATAAGAACGATATTTTCGTAAAAACTTCCCAAATAAGAGACCCAAGTAGTAGGGTGCAGAATTATTAATTAACGCAAGCAGTCAACAAATGTTCCGTCTGACATGAGTTAAATACGGATTGTAATTTGGCAGACAAAATCCCACGCAGCTGGAAGGTTGGCTCGGAAGCAATTGTTGTTGCCATAATTGCGTGACCATCAGCGCCAGTGCGTTTATAGGGAGTTTTCGTCCACTTTCGACGTCTCAGTCAAGTGTGCTTTTTCAGAAAAGCGTTCATTGGTCAGCATCCGGCATTACTTGGTGGTGTGTTAAGAGGCTAAATGATGAAAATATGCTTGATCGTTCTAGAAGTCACTGATTGCATGCAAAAAGAGGTGCTGGAATGAGATATTCACCAACCGCGATATCAACAGTAGGGGGGTTGTGGTGATGCCAGTCATTGATTGCGGTGGGCAGATGCCTCAGTGATTGTCTGATGGGTGATGGCCAAGGGCGATTTACACAAATTAGGTACTCTTGTTTACGAATTCAGCTCTAGTGCCTTACTTCGCCAGAGGGTGGAATTTATGAACAAGAATATGGTCGAAATTATGAAGTTCAGTGTGGCAAGGAAGCCAGACATAATCGTCCATTTTGGACACGACGTTTAGCGAAAGTGCCTTGTTGCAGAGTCGGCAAAAGCGAAGAACTCGAAGGACTACGAAGTGACGAGGGACAGCCAATCAGGACACAAATTTGACTCAAACTCAAGGAGTGCGTTGACCGGTGTGGCATTTTTCATGACGATGAGGGTTCAACATTCGAATGGGTGAATTGCGTGTGTGTTTTCATCTCCACGTGTTCGGAGTGCCAAGAAAGTTCGTGTTTGAGTGAGAGTGAGAGGAGCGATGTGGCAGACAGTGGGCAGACGAAGTCACGCCATTGAACTAGATTAAATAGTCGAAGTAGATTTGAGGTCGGGAGTTTGGAGTGTGAAGACTCGGTTCTACTACGGTGCAACAGTGATCGACGATGGTCTTGGCAGAAACGAAGGTACATTTGAAGCAGGTTGACGTAGACGACATCTTGTGAGGTGTGCAGGAAGTGGGGTGGTATCACGGCGTCAAGGATTGTTATCGACTCACGAAAAACACCACCCTCTCATGTCCTTTCACGAGGATGCCCTTTTGTCTCTCTGCAAACAAACATTCTTGAGATTCTCACACCATTGTGTGGACGGGAATGAAGCATTCTCAGTGCCTGGATAGAGCGACGCGCGTAGCTTTGATGTGGGACTCTGGATTGAGGCATGACTGGTGCACCGCAGTGGCTCATTTAGTCTGTGGCTCTGTATTCAAACATACAAGGGCTTAAGTGCACGCCGCGTACCTAAACTGCTATCGGATTTCACGTTTTGATCAAACCGAAGTTGGTGGGTGTTTTTGGGCGTGTCATTGCCTGCACTGTGGTCACAATTTCGCCAAACGAACAATGCGAAGTAGGTTTTTCAACTTGCTAGATAGATATCTTTGTGTGATGTGTCTTTTTATGCAATCACGGGACGCGAGGCGGCGGTGTCCAGGCGCTGATTTGCAAAGGCAAATCAAGCTGCTGTGGGCAAACACGATTGTTTTGTCAGCCGTCGAATGATTGGCCACTGACTCAGCAGTCGTGCTACGATAGCTCGAGCGTGTCGTGTCTGTTGACATCGACGCCGAAATCTGTCACGTTGTCATCCTCGTTGGTGTTTACTTCTCAAAATGCGCGAGGAGACAGTGGCGAAGATGTCGACTCAAAATATTCCCATGCTAGGTAGAAACGAAATGTTTGTTGACAATACGTGCGAGAGGAGTTAGTATCCAGTGGCAACGCAGGTGAGGCGAATCGCAGAATTTGTAGAGAGGAATAAATCAGCGGCAACTGAAATGCGCGCGGAGGACATAAACTTGTCGGTTATGCACAAGAGGAATAATTCACAGGTGAAGGAAGATGAAGGGAGAATGTTCAAATCTCGATTTTCAGGCCGATGTTCGCTTTTGTGAAGGAACATGGAACACTTAAATTTCATTACGAAGACATCTGCGAAGCTAAAGTGAACGTTGGGCATGATGTGGGCTCGACGTTTGACTGATTTGTGGTCAAGTAAGTAAGGCGTGTGAAGTGGGCGAAGGTGGACAGAATGTCAGCAGTGGCACTGTGTGGAACCCGAATTCCCGCAATCATCGATTTTCTATTATAAATTCCGCAGACGTTTGTTGACAGCCCACTTCGTGCGTACAGTTTTGCAAATGAGGCAACACGATGGCCTTGAATGCATGTTCAATTGCAATGAACGTGGCGTGGAATCGCGAGCGACGGGCACGTTGACGCGTCGACGTGTTGTGTGTGCACAACTCCGCACTTGGGATTGCCGGTGTGGGTGGGGTGAGTTGAGATGGCATGCCGGCGTGCTGCTTTTATGACTCGCATTTACACAGGCAAAACAATGCTTCTTGCAAGAAGCCAGCAGACGCGCAATTATCGCGAAATGCGATTCAGTCGCTCATTCAAACTGAAAGATAACTGACTGAAGCATGCTTGCTAAACACGGGATTCTAAAGAACACTACTGTCCGATAATGTTGTCGACTTCTTTTAAAGGCAAAGCGTGTTTGTACTAATTGCCAAGACAAAGTCTCTCATGTCTAGGAGGTGGATATGAGTTAACTGCATGGGGCTGCCTTCGAACGCTGGGTCGGCAGACAGACAGCAGTGGAGTGTGAAGTACATGAATGTGGACGGTGGCGGTGTGTGGATGTTCGAGGTAGCTATATGTGGAACCCTCATTTTCCCAAACATCAATGCTTTGTGTGAAATGTGGTTAGTGGGTGTGAAGTGACGTTTCTTTCGAAAAAGATCTTTCATGTGACAGACCTACGGTAATACAATCTCCGTACTCGTTGTTCATCCACACAGAGCTTAAACCTGTCAAATGACAGTGTATCTGGTTAGAGAATGTCAACAATCCTTTAAGGCGATCCCAGATATTGAAGCGGTTTTTAAAATGCATCTTTTTCGGTCCACGACAGATATTTTACCTGAATAACACCCATGCTACTTATTTCTGTGAAATGCAGAGTAAAATAAGGTGTGGGATTTCGATTGATGCGCATTTGAAAGTTGATCGGATACTTGGCCCAAAAACAAGTGCCTTTTGAAATAAGCACCTCATCACGATACTGTTGCAAAAAAATCGATAATCTGAAACCAGTCACAAACAGTGAAGCCATCTAGTCCACAATTTTGACGAGTTTATAAAATGTTGAAACACAATTGTTTGAGCACTGGCACATTCTTTAATCGCGAGTTCATTGCCACACTAATTCTAAAACTTGTTCTTCGAATGACTTTGTTAATTTAATGAATGTTATGATACCAGCAACCTGCGGATCAGTTGGTTCATCTGTAAAACCAACTGATCTGCGAAAACACGTGCTTGATTGTAGAATAGTGAGTGTGCTGATGGTAACCGATCAGTGTAACGGCAAAATCAATTGAAAGATTGAAAAAGCCAAAGATATCATGCGTCTGAAGGTGTTTTAAAGCATTCGATCGTGTACCTTTCAATAGATGTGTTTTTGCAACATTATTTTAGGAAAAACTGTCTGCATAAATGGCTCTGAAACATGATTATGTGAAAGGAATTGTAAGTTGCAAATACAGAACACTTATCGACAGCAAAAGTGTTCATAACAGGGTTTGTAAATTACACCAGTCAGGAAATACTGTGAATTTAGACTTTTAACGCCTAATGAAGGCACAATTTGGCCGAAAAGTCTCAAAATGTTGTCAGATTTAGGTACAGTTGTAGTTTTCATGATCGATAATTGCACTTAAATGTAAAAGTACAAAGACGCCTGAATTGTATTATGTGATACCCCTTGTTATAAATCAAACTTGAGTGGAATTTACGAAGGACTTGTGCGATTAAATATTTCTATCAATGTGATCAGATCTTTGTTATAAAAGGCAAGAAAAATTCTAAGGTTGTTCCACAAATTTGGGACGAATAAAGGGTTGCACAGATGAAGAGATATCCTTTTTATAATGTCGCATTAAAAAAACATTTGAGACTTCACAGTCCACTTTATCGATTTTCAATCAAAACGGTGTTATTCGTAGTTCATGAAACTGCAGACTTGAAGGAATAAAAACAGAGGTCAAGTAGACCACGACTGCTGTCAGTTTTTGAAATACTAACACCGCTTTGTTGAGTGGTCGGTAGTTTTCAGCGTAAACCGATGGTTTTTCCTGAAAATTAACAACCTCTTTTTTCAGAAATATTTTAATACTAAGTGTAATTCTTCAAGTAGACTACAATTGTCTTCTATTTACTCATTATCGCACTTTACGAACGGTGAGTTCTACAATTAGCCGTTTTATCAAGTTAATGAATTCAAGGTCGTAAGTACCTGGAGGTCACTGGGAGATCCAATCAGATTGAT